CACATCTGTCTGTTCCCAGTAGTATCCAGGCAGATACTGTACACTGGGAACCCATGGAGAAACTTTCTTCCCCATATCTTACCCTGCACCTGATAATCAGAGATGTCTCCCCTTCTGCTATGGATAAGGTTAACTTAGTTAATTAATTTCTTATCCACACTTTACTACAAGGTCCCAAGGCGGGTCACAACAATAAAATATGCCATTATGAAAATAGCCATTCATGGGTCTATGGTCTATAAACTTGCCTAAATCTTCAGTCACCTATGCTTGCGGCTCCTGTATTTGTCATCGCCAAAGACTTCATGAGTGCTATCATGAGCTTCAACATTCAATGTAGCATTCCGTATTCCGCCTTACTGTATTTCTTAGGGAAGTGGGGATTATACATTTATAAATAAATTAAGTAATATCCACCCATGGTTCGGATATTTAAGTACTGGCTGTGCCGAATATTTTGGGGTTCAGTAAGTAACAAATACTTTTTTTTTAAGTACCTGTTGCAACACTGGTGTGCCGCGTGAACTTTCTTTTACTCGTATTAAAAAATAGCCTCCATAAACTAGTCTATTCATCAACTAGTACACTGTTGCGATGACTCCATAATTACTCATTGCAAGAATAAAAGGGTTTCTTTAGTTCGCCTAAGCCAGTGGTGGCCAAACTTGGCCCTCCAGCTGTTTTTGGACTACAACTCCCATCAATGCTAGCTAACAGGACCAGTGGTCAGGGATGATGGGAATTGTCCCAAAACAGCTGGAGGGCCAAGTTTGGCCACCAATGGTCTAAGCAATGCCCCAACTTAATGCAACCAGAGGGGCTGCCATGGGTGTTGAAACATTAAGCCACCCTGTTGCACGCATGCACTAACCTGTGCCTCTAGCAAGGCCCTTAAAAGCATTGATTCTCATGCACACAACATTCTGCCAATATAATGGCAGTGACATTTTTCCAGGGATGGAATAAGGATGCGTCAGGATTCCCTGATGCAGCTTGCGCTCCAGCTGGGAAGCGACAGAAGACCTCCCCCAAAATACCATTCCCTAGAAAATATGGTAGCTGTGCTACCAAATGCCTACCCCTTGGTTAAGATGACATAGGTGTCTATTTTAGTACAAGAGTGAAACGTGCCTCGAAGTTAAATACAAAAATATAACAACCCTCTTGGAATCATACAATTGTAGAGTTGTAAGGGACACCAACGGTCATCTAGTCCAACCCCCTTTCAATGAAGGAATGAATGAACCCTGCTCCTAGTATCAAAAATCTGGCAAACATTTGGCCTGACCCAACCTTTTTTCCTTGTAGAAATCACCACCATAGGAGTTATCTAGTGCAATTCACTTCTGATACTTGAAATATGACACATCCCTATTAAAATAAAAGACAGCCATCCAATTTGAGGAAAGTGCTGCAAGCATCCAAATACAATAGCTTTCTAGCCATGGTTATTGTTATAATACTCACTGAGAAAGAAGCAGGCGGTCAAAAGACAAATTAGTACTTCCTCAAGAACCTGATACAATCAGTACCTATTAAGCATGGTTTTCTTGATTTGTCAGCAGAAGATAAGGATCCTCTATTCCTTCAAGATTGCTCTTTGCAACGCCTTAAAGCCTGGTGAACTCTTGGTTACAGCTTAGCTAACTAGAGATAGACTTGTCCACCTACTTCCTCCCAGCCTCAACAATGAGTGTTAACCAGCATTGTGCTTGAACTTCTGTCTTTACATAGACATTCATCAATACCCACAAATTTCATTCTCTTTGTGTTTTCTCTCAGTTTTAATGACAGACCTATGTTCTTCAGCTTCATTGGAGAAATTAGCTACATTACAGGGAAGATTAGTAGAGTCTTAAATCTGGTGCAATTCTAAGTGTGTAATATTGAATATAATCCATAGAAACATTGCAGAAGTTGCTTTTAGCTTACCTCCACTATTCCCACACCCAAGAATATATATTTCAAGAATATTCTCTTTGACTAGCCTTTCTCAAAACTTAGATTTGGATTATTATAAGACTTCAGTACTTCCTTTCTAGCAATAAAATTATTTTCATGAAACGTGCATTTCTTTCTACCATTAACTGTCACCATAAAATTCCATCTGGCCAACTGATATTGGAACACAACTTGTCTCCATATATAATTGTGATAGTTATTTCATTTTCAACCCTCCTAAGTTCCTAAAAACCACCCCACTAATATATCAGGGTCACATACCCCATTAATATATCGGGGTCACATACACCACCATTTAGGGTATTTAATAAATAAATAAATGGTATTTGGCAATATAAAATATAAATATGAAATCATATTAAGGATTATGGCTTACAGTACAGAGAAAATGCAGGAAACACAAAGAAGTATACATTTCCTACAAGAGATGGAAGATTCCTATCAAGGATGACATCTAGATTCAGCAGCGATAGTTCCTTTGAACTCTAATTGACACTCATATATTTTTCCTGCAATTCAAAATCCACCCAAGGATCTGATCAAACAACAACAAATGTTTAACACCTCCTTAACAGCTACATCAACACCAAATTAGTGGGGGGGGGGTTGTATTTTTTTTAAATCACTTTAACGGGTCATTTAGACATCCCTTACCTTGAACTCACTTTTACTGACCTCCCATTTTAATGAAACACTTAAATTACAAACAATCTCAGCTACAAGCCAGGTTTTGAGAAAACGTTGAGTGATACACCTGGTATTGTAGGAGAATACATGAAGTGTGAAATATCACAGGTTGTAGGAGAAAGTTCTCCATTTTTTACATCCCTTTGGGTCACCGAGGACCCCCAAAGCATAGAGAATTAAAAAGAAAAGCAAATCTGAGGAGCTTTTGACTACTGTTGACGTTGATCATTGAATATCAAGCTAAATCTTCAAAAGACCTACATTTTCTTCCACTAGTTTCTGTGTTCATCATCTCATTATGAACATGGCAAATTCTTCACCTTGTGGAACATTCATGCATAGGATAACAACTGAATGATATCTCCGATTTCCACGGGAAAGGGCGATAAACTACTTCCCTCCCCCTCATCTCCTCAAGACAAACTCAACTACAAGCCCAAAAGAGAAAGGAATCCGAAAATAAAATTAACTCACTGAAGAAACAAGTAGATAAGCAGCCAGTATGTTATGGGTGCATCAGTAATTTTCTCAAAGAGTCTCAAAGCAAGCTCCAACACCAGATCAGCTGACACCATCTCAAGCACAATGGATTGCAGTTCACATATTCCATGCAAGTCAAGAGGGACCATCAAGTATCTGAAGAAGTGTGCATGCACACGAAAGCTCATACCAGTAACAAACTTAGTTGGTCTCTAAGGTGCTACTGGAATGAATTTTTTTATTTTGTTTCACCAAGTACTGAGACACACATGTGCAAAATAGCTCTTAAAAACTCTTTTCTATTTTCTGAGCAAGAAGTATGATTGCGGTGTTAATGCAAAGTGAATAGCACAGCTTTTGATGGAAGTTGTCCTAGCCAAAGTGGTTTTTATTAGCAAGAAGAGTCTTGGGCCTTTGTTTGTTTGTTTGTTTGTTTTGCAACACCCGTCATCAACCACTGATGATGAAACCATCTTCAAGCTGAGTTTAAAACAGGTCTCTTGCAAAAGACCATTTACCCTAACTCTACCAATTGCCCTGTGTGTTTAATTCTGCCTGTGCTATCTTTACCTTCATATATCAGAGATAAACCATCCATAACTCTCAATCAGGTAAACCAAGTTCTTATGAACAGATATTGTGCATATGAACAGATTCATCACGGGAAGAAAACAATAGCCGTGTCTACTAAAACAAATGAAAAATTGAACTCGTTGGCATCAGCGAGCAATGGAATGGGCCTACCACAACATCATTAAAGAGTATGCAATGAATGTCTCACACTGAAACATTGTGCTTTGTTCACCAGCTAGAAAGAACTCAGAAGTTTGAGGAAAGAAATGTACAACCACAATCAAAAGTTAAGTAGTAAAATCAAATATTCCCCATGATTATTATTTTTTAATAGGGCTAGTGTTTTATCAGTAACGTAGATAACATAGATAAAACCACCAAGGTCTATCATCTAAAATTTAACATTTTCAGAAATTACAATTTTGTTGATTGCATATAATTCAAGGTGGGAGTTTCCTTATCTTATGGTGACTTGTAGCTATCTGTGACATACACACATATATCTACATTTCTATCACTTAAGTTTGCTTTTGCAGTTTTACTATGGAAACCCAAACTCCTCTCAGCATTTCAAACATTTTGGCTACCTCACTTTCATTATTTCACCCTCTGCTTACCAACTTCTCAAACAGAGAATTAATTACTCTCTTAATATTCATGGTCATTGTTTTGAGGCACAGTAAAGTGTTAGGCTGGAGCTACTGTTGATGACTCTGCAGATTTAATTTTTCATCAACTTTAGATGACCCTAGAGTATTCCTAATTAGAAGCTGGAAACAAAGGTGAGAAGAAGAAAAATACCATCTTTTTCTGAATTGCCATCATATTGTTGAAATATTAGCATTCCATAATTACATCTAAAAATAGAATTCATGTTCCAGACAAATGTCAGCATTTTAAAATCTCGCTGATTTCAATGGAAAAGAGTCAAGTGCATGCTTGCTACAGTCCTGCACACAACTTACCTGGGTGTAAGCTCCACTGAACTCAATAGGGCTTACTTCTGTGTAGATATGTATAGGACCACACTGTAACTCTTCCATGGAAATCAATGGAACTTAAATGTACTTAGGTTTGGCTGGATCATGATGATAATTCTAATGAAACTCCAACATTTCTAAGCTCCATAATTGATGTTTAGGGTCAGGTTTAGGAAGGGGGGGGGCAATGAGAGAAATTCCTCCATGAATTACAGAGCCTTTAAGATGCCTTATGGAATTTCAGAGATACTCATAATTGCATGATTCATTTTTTTAAAATAAAAAATAAAAGTACATACGCAGCTCCAAATTATTTACCAAAATTGCAACACTTCCAGAAGATACCCTCAATTGGAATGTCCACTGCAAGGCTAACACAAAATTTGCTTGATTGACATTGATTTCATGTCATTCTGCAGAAGAACACTGCCAGGCTCATCAGATATTTAGCTATTCCATTTTCTCCACACACAAAAAATAAAGCACGTCTTTGGTCAACTGAGGCAGCCTCTTGAAGGCCATGAAGTTCAACCCAAAAGTTACATCTAAAAGGGGTTGGTTTCAAAAATGAAACTATAAAAGAAGCAGTGGGGGAAATATGTCCTTTTGAGCCCAGGTCTCTCACTCTCTGTCTGTCTCTGGAGAATCTATGAAAAGAATCTATGAAACTTCCTCAAATCGTCCATTTCCTGGAGTCAGAAAGAGAAGAGACATCAAAAAAACATTGCTCACTGGAGGGGGAAAAATGTCAAGCCAGGCTTTGCCAACAAAGCTTCAGAAAAAAATGGAGAAACATCCATAATTGCATGAGCACTTCCCATCTCAGCTTTGTCTACTGGAAAAGCCTGCCCTTGCTCTCCCTCTCCTCCATTTTCTGGTGGAGCTAGAGAACATGACATGGCTTACCTGACTCAGATCACAGCCCTCTGTCCAACTATTCACTTCCTCTTAGACATGCAAGTAGCTTCATGAGACAAGCAGGCATGCACACAAAAGCATCAGCAGAAAGCAACCCCGTATCTCGCCACCTTTTCCCCCCTTCCTAGAAGGTCCTTCCCAAAAAACCAAGAGGAGCAAACTTTCTCTGGGTTGGAAAAAAAGAAAGGCTGAGAATCTCATCACAACAGAGGATTGCAAGCTGAGATCTCTTCAGATCTCCAGAGCCAGGATCTCCCCTTTCCTTTCCACACACACACACCCTCATGCAGAAGTAGAAACTATAAAGCTCTGGGAAGAAAGAGGGTGACTCCAAGAGAGGAGAAGAGAAACGCCTGGAGATTGTGTGTGTGTGTGTCCCCGCGCGAAAGAGGAGTAGCTTTGTGTTTTGGAGTCTGGACTGGAACCAAGGCAGACAGCTTGCAAATGGAGGACAAGGAGATAAAGAAAGAGGGGGGGAGGAGGGAAATGAAAGGGGGGAAAGCTCAGCTGCTTCTCATTCCCTGGAAAGCCATGGACACCAGGGAACCGAGCAAGAAGTGAGGCTCTCTGTTGAAACACCCCCCCCTCTCTTTCTCTCTCTCTTTTCCCTTTCTTCCCTTCTCAAAGCAAAGAGCAAAAAACTGTGTTGTAATGGCTTCTCTCCAGCTTCCACCGCTGTCCTATTCCAAGGCAACCCTTTTCAGAAAGGAAGGACCCTCACCACCAAGCTCAACTTGAGGAAAGGCGGGAGAGAGAGAGAGCCTTGGTTGTGTATGTGTGTAATGTGTGTGTAATGGGGGGGGGGGAGAAAAGAAGGTCCAGTCTACCTGCCTGAGAGAGAGGGACCAGATTTTGGAAGGAGGAGAGGAGAGGAGGCGCAGAAAGAGAGAGAGAAAGAGAAAGCAAAGAAAGAAAAAAGGAAGGAAGGAAGGAAAGAAAGAAAGAAAGAAAGAGGTCACCGGTCGAGGCAGCTCTACAGAGCTTTTTCCCTCTCCGCACCCCCCCCCCGGCAGCCTCTCTCTCTTCTCCCAGCGCCTGGGAGATCCAGTCACTTCCCCACACAGCCAAACCCCCAAGTGCCCCCACAACACACTTCTCGGCGGCGCTCCTCGCACTTCTCTCTCTCGCCCCACAGCCGCCTCAAATGCAACAACAACACAAAATTAATTAACTGCCTTCCTTCCTCCTCCTCCTCCTCCTCCTCCCACCAGCTCCACCACCACCACCACCACCTCCTCCTCCCCCATTACAGGAGACACAGAGAGACCTCTCTCTCCTCGCTCAACAAAACCACCGGGTCCGCCGCCGCCGCCACCACCTTGTGTTCTTGTGTGCTCGAATTCCTCCAGCTCGCCCTGAATGAATGGATCTCCTCGCTTCTCCAAGCTTTCCCCCCCAAGGTGGCTTTGGTGGGACAGCCAAAAAAGGAGAACCTCGCTTTGCTCTTTCCCCCTCCAAGACCCGAGATGGGCTTCAAAGGCCAGAACTTACAGGAAGGTCCCGGTTGCTGGTGGTGGCGGCGGCTGGGTCCTTTCCCCTTTCTGCTCCTGCCTCTGGCTCCTCTTCTTCTTCTTCTTGCAATTGTTGTGGAAGTTGCTCCTTTCTTTTTCTCTCTTTGCTGAGGTTCTCATGTGCTCCTTGCCAGGTCTCAGCAATGGAGGATCGCCATCTTTTTCCCTGCTTTTTTTTTTCTCTCTCTCTCTCTCCTCTCCCTCCCCTCTCTCTCTCCCCCTCTCCCTCGCTCCTTCACTGGCTTGCTGCAGCTGCAGATGACCTGAGATATCCGTCTCTCTCTCTCTCTCTCTCTCTCTCACTCAACCCTTCTGTGTGTCTCTCTCTGAATAATGAGCAACCAAGAGGGAGCGAGAGAGGGAGAGAGAAGACAATCTCCTTGCCTACCACACACAAAACGCAAGAGCACCAGGGGGTGCAAGAAGGCTTTCTAACAACAACAACAAGAACGGGGGTGGTGGGGAGAGAAAGAAAGGGGGAAAGGCAGGAGGAGAGGAGGAGAAGGGGCAGGAGAGGTGGGGGTGGGAAGATCTTCAGAGATGGAGGAGGAGGTGGTGAAGATGAAGGCAGCAGCAGCAGCAGAAGGTGGCTCCAAACTTAAAGTCCTCTTGGGAGATGATTTCTGAGGCGCTCCCAGGCTTCCTGAGCGGGGCGAGGAGAAAGGGAGACCTGGAAGAGTCCTTCCAACCTGGTTGCCTCCAGAAACCTCCAGCTCTCGCCAGCCTTGGGAGAAGCCCCTCGCCCGCGGCTCTCCCTCTGCTGGGTCATCCTCGCCTTTTCCTACCAGCCATGGCAAGTCCTGCTAAATAACAAGCCAAGCGCCACCCGGGTTTTCGCCCTGCACGCAAGATGCGCCTTCTTGTCACCTAAGCTGATCCCTGAGATACGTCCATCTAGGAGAGACTTAAAATCTTTCCCTCTTGGTGTTGTTGTTCTTTTTTTTTCTTCCCCTGAACAGGGTGAAGGAACATAAATGCACCTGGAGGTGGCAAAGTGTGGTGGGGTTTTTTGTATATATTTTTTAAAGGCATAGATCTACCACGTGGTTGATTTAAATTCTCCCCCCCCTCCCTTTTAGCTTTGCATGTTGGAAGGGGGCGGCGGAGAAAGAAAGGACTCAAATTGTCCATTTCTAGCACGTATTTTGAAGTCTTCTCCCGGAAATAAAGACTCTTTGTCGTTTGAGTTCTTCCCCAAGCATATATATATATATATAATATATAAATACACACACAAAGAAAGGGAGCTTTGCAGCGCTGAAGAGCAAGCGCTCCTGCTACTTTAAAAAGCCTTGTGCAATGTTTGGGCTACCGCAGAACCCCACTTTAATTTTTAAAATAAAACTTTGGTGCCACCTTCTCTACCCCCCTCCCCTCCTCCGTTGCCTGCCTCTTCTGTGGTTGCCTCTGTGTACAGCAGTCTATGGAAAGTAACAATCAAGATTCCCAAATGATAAGGTGTCATCATCACCTTGAAGGCAAGGAAGAAGGCAAAGATGAAGTTATTATATCTCAGCATCTTCATTTCCCCAAGAAATCGTTCTGAACCTCTTCAGAGAATTTTTTTTTTTAAGTGACTGGGGGTGGGGGATGTCTCCCATTCCCAGCCTTATATTCCCCCTCCATGCCAAATCTAATACCTTCCAGACTTTAATCTGGTACTGAGAGGGAGGGAGATGAAGTTAGCATTGGAAAATCAATAAACACTGTAGTGGAGAGGAAAGCAATTTGAATGGGAAGACGTGACAGTATTGAATCTTCTTGACTGTTTCTTTTAGACCTCAAACTGGATCAGAGAAGGAGGAGAACCTTAAAAGCTTCTTTTGAGCAGATTTTGGGATGGGGAACCCCTCTCCCTGGAATGAGAAACCTTGAGAAACCAGAAAGAGAGAGCTGAGATCTTCTTTAAAGTGTTAGAATTTAATTAAGACATGGAAGGTGATTCAACTCAAGCTTTAGAAACCACTTGATGCCCAAAGTCAAGGAGTCAAAAACAAATGTGGAAATGGCAAAAGGATGAAGACTCTGAACAAATAAGTAACAAGGAGGCAGCAAATTTCACTGCATTTTTCCATAGCTATATCCCTGGTGTTATTCTCAATTTTTAAATTAACTGTGCGCCCATTTAAAAGGTATTTATACAGAACACGGCTTCCCCCAAATAATGTGGGCAGCTGATGCTTGTTAAGGGAACTTTGTGATGGGTAAAAATGACAGTTCCATTTATTCTTTTAGAGAAGCCATATGCTAGTCTTGCTAGCTAGGGATGATGGGAGTTGTAGTTTAAAAACAGCTAGAGACATATGTTTGGGAAACACTGGATCAGGGTGGCCAGTGTGGTGCCTTCCAGTCATTCTTGCACTCCGATTCCCATCAGCCCCAGCCAGCATAGCCAATAGTAAGGGATGATGGGAACTGGAGTTCAGCAACATCTGGAGAGGACCACATTGACTACACAAGGTGCAGATGATGGATAATAATGGGTGTGGCTCAAGTTGGTGTTTTTTTAAAAAAAATCTGTGGAATTTGTGTCATCTTAAAAGACAGTAAGGGTTATCACATTCTTCTCACAGTCTATTATTTTGACTATTTACCTTTATTTCCTAGTGTAGATTGGATATTGATCAGGCAGAGGTAGCATTTCTTAAAGCATTTCCCCCCCTCCTGGTTTTGTTCTGGTCTGGAATTGCAGCTGGTACAGAATGGTGAAACCAGGTTATTGAGTGGAGCAACTGGACACAAGCATGTTACACCCGTAAGATGTTGAAGGAACTGCCAATCAGCTACCCAACAATGTTCAAGGTCCTTTTGTTAACATACTGAGCCCTAGATAACTTGGAACCAGGTTATCTGAAAGACCTTCTGCCCCTGTATAGACCTGTAAGATCACAGAGATTGTCTGGGGAAATTCTACTTCTGGCACTGCACTCCACAGAATATCATAGGGTGGGGAGTGGAAAATGGGCATTTTCTGGTGTTCCTGTTCTGTGGAATGCCCTACATTGCTGTAGTTGCTTCAAACTTCTTATAAAAGGTTCATATTTTTGTCCAAGATTTCCCTGACCCATAAGAGTGTGCATCAATCCCCTGAATTAGTTTTATTTGCTTTTATATTTTTTATAACTGTTTTATTGGTTTCAAGCTTTATATTTGTTTTAACGGACACTGTTCTTATATTGCACATAGTCTACACTGCTTATATATTTTAAAATATATTAAGGGGTGTATAAATGCTTTGAAATATTAGTTAAATAGCTTTCTAAGAAAGGTGTCATCTGTGACACAAAAACCTTTTGCATTTAGGCAATAATAATAATAATAATAATAATAATAATAATAAATACAAAAGAAATACTGGCACAATCCAACTAAAGATAATAATAATAATAATAATAATAATAATAATAATAATAATAATAATAATAAATTATTACTTATACGCCGGCCATCTGGCTGGGTTTCACCAGCCACTCTGGGCGGCTCCCAACAGAATATTATTAGTAATAACAATGATAAAGGGAATATTTGATAAAGAGAAAATAATGATATTTAGGGAAGTTTTTAGTGTTTGATGTTTTAACAAACACTAAAAACTTCCCCACCCTAAATAGGGATGCCTTCAGATGTCTTCTAAAAGTCAGATAGTTGTTTATTTCCTTGACATCTGATGGGAGGGCATTCCACAGGGTGGGCACCACTACCGAAAAGGCCCTCTGCCTGGTTCCCTGTAGCTTCACTTCTTGGAGCTGGACCTCAGGCTGAACAATGGAGGTGGAGACGCTCCTTCAGGTACACAGGACCGAGGCCCTTTGGGGCTTTAAAGGTCAGTGCCAACATTTTGAATTGTGCTCGGAAACATACTGCGAGCCAATGTAGGTCTTTCAGGACCGGTGTTATATGGTCTCAGCAGCCACTCCAAGTCACCAAGTCTAGCTGCCGCATTCTGGATTAGTTGTAGTTTCTGGGTCACTTTCAAAGGTAGCCCCACGTAGAGCGCATTGCAGTAGTCCAAGCAGGAGATAACCAGAGCATGCACCACTTTGGCGAGACAATCTGCAGGCAGGTAGGGTCTCAGCCTGCATACCAGATGGTGCTTTAAGACTCACTGGAGACCCCATGGAAAAGTTAGTCAGTGCTTAATTCTCTTCCATTGAAATAATCCATAAGCAAAAGTGCTTAAGATTGCAGTCCTACTCTGAATGATCTGGAGTATGTATCATTGAATTTACTGGGATATACTTCTGAACAGATATGACTAGGATTGCACAATTAGGCTGCAAACCTAAAGGTACATACTTAGCAGTAGATTCCAATAAATTCAGTGGGATGTTATTCTCAGTAGACATTCTTCTTCTTGTTATTTATTTGATTTACTTGTTGTTGAATACAAAATGTCTCTAGGCAGCATACATATACACCTTAAAAAAAACCAATCAACAATAAAATAACAAACCCCCCCCCAAAAAAAACTCCAGTAGCAATAAGCATGACTATCATAATCCCTCAAAAGAATGGAATAAAAGGGATGACTTAGCGTGGTTCCGTAAGGATATTATTGTTGGCACCAGGTGGACGTCATCGGAGACAGCATTCCACAGAGAGGGGGCCTTAACCCAAAAGGCCCTCCCTCCCCCTTGTCACTCTGCTTACCTCTGGAGAAGGCCCTCACACGATGAATGCTGAGTTTGGATACGTTCAATGTTATGATATGCTATAGGGTTTCCCAAGCTTGGGTCTCCAGTTTTTTTGGACTACAACTCCCATCATTCCTAGCTAGCAGGACCAGTGGTCAGGGATGATTGGAATTGTGGTCCAAAAACAACTGGAGACCCACGTTTGGGAAGCCCTGGTCTATTACATGCATGGGACAGTCTTGTAACTGCGATGGGACCTATATTATTCTTAGCATTATTCTTAGTATTCTTAGCATCATCATCAACTGTTACAATATATTACATGCACAAAACTGTGGTTAGGATCTATATTGTTGTTGTTATGCCTTGAGTGTGAAATTAAAATTAGCACCAAGCATTGTTGAAATGGGAAAAAGAAGACTTTTGGGGGAAAGCAATACTGCTGGGTTCAGAAAATAACTTTTGGGAGGGTGGTGGTGAATCCAGGAGAAATATCTATTGACTCTTGTGATTTCACACGGACAAATGAATTGGGCACCTCCTAAGATGCTGATAAAAGAGCTTTGGAGGTGGGAGGGAACTGCCTTTTGCTGCTGCCAGGGCGTGCATGTGCTCTGGCAGCAATTTTCTATAAATCATCCCTTCTCGTGAAAGGAACGCCAGGACTTTACAAAAAGTCTGTGACGTACCTTCAGCACTCAAGCAGATAATGTGTCTCTTTGTCTTTTAATAATGAATCCTGGCTTTTCCTGTCAGCTACTGCTTCTTGGGAAACAAGAGCCGCAGCTCCGAAGGAGGAAGCCTGGAACGCCATGTCAGGCATGGAAAGCTTAAGCCTGATCA